AAATAACTCTGGTGTGTTATTGTTGCTAATTTTTTTTTACTTAAAAAGCTTGAAGACACACATAGAGATGTGTTTCCCCACCTGACCCCTCTAAAACAATCTGTAACCCCTTTAAATTGTAAAACTAACCTGTCACGCCCCCTCACAGCAGGGAGTAAGACCCAAGCAGGGATGATTGACAGTGATGTAAACAAAAGGGGAGGAGTTTCGCTTGATTGACAGCCAGTATCAGTGCTCTAGCTCTCAGAACAGAACCTGCATGGCAAACATTCTTCCAGTGGTCTCGCACAGATAACCTTAAACACTGACACACACATGGAGAAAGACGTAGTGCCCAATACGGATGTCAGGAGAATGTCTCTGTCAACCGTGGGATGCCAGAGACTCGGATCTCTGTGAAACCTCAGTGTTAAAGTCTGGATAATCAGATCCACTACAGCCTGTCTCCACCTGGAGCCTAAATGTGTCGCATTTGGTTGCTGTCCACATTCCAGCAAGATCACAGTTAAGAATATGTGTAAGAATGGGACATGACCAGATGAAAAGGTGACAAGCTGTTATTGTTGGCAGTCTGATATAGTAGCAGCAATGTAGTGGATATTATATATAAAATTATTAAAAACATTTGGGGCTGCATTTAATTAATACAATACAGTAAAAACAGTAATATTGTTAAATATTATTACAAATTAAAATAACTGATTTGTATTTTAATATATTTTGAAATGTAATTTATTCCTGTGATGTAATCTGCATTTTCAGCATCATTACTCCAGTCTTCAGTGTCACATGATCCTTCAGAAATCATTCTAATATGCTGATTTGCTGTTCAAGAAACATTTATTTGTATCATCAATGTTGAAAACAGTTGTGCAGCTTAATATTTTCATGGAAACTGTATTTTTTTCAGGATTCTTTGGTGAATAGAGATTTAAAGATAACCATATTTAATAATAAATAGAGGTATTTTGTAACATCATAAATGTCTTTACTGCCACTTTTGATCTAGAATGCATTCTTGGTGAATAAAAGTAATGATGGTTAATAATTATTAATATCTATTGTCTTTAATTGTTATGTTTTTAATATACAATAATATATATACATGGAATGGCATGAAGAAACAGAACAAACTGAGACAGACTAAATCCAGAAGAACTGTGGAAACATCTCCAAGATGCTTCAAGAATCCTACCTGCAAAGCTACCTGGAAAACTATGCACAAGTGCACCTAGGGCAAAAACTGGTTTAAACGCAAAGGATGGTCACACCAAATGTTGGTTTAATTTAGTTAATAGAAGTTAATTGATAAAAAAAATCTATTTATGACATTATTTTGACAGCATCCTCATTTTACAACATTTTTACACAACTGCCTACAACTTTTAACAGTACTATAGCTTTGTAGGTAGGTTTATTGAAGCATCTTGGAGACGTTGGATTTAGTCTGTCTCAGTTTGTTCTGTTTCTTCACGTCATTCCAGACAGACTGGATGATGATCAGATCAGATCTTTGTGTGGAGCACTGGCTGCTGTCAAACTCCTTGTGCAAAAAAAAATCTCGCTGGATTATTACAATTAATGGCAAAATGAATGTTTGGAAATGTAAACTGACAGTTCCTACTGACACACTACAGCAAAAGATAGAAATAACTTAATTAAAACCATTTTAAGTTTATATAAATACTACTGTTCTAATAATTTTGGCCACCACTATATAGTGTCCTAACTAGCAGTTTTTATATCTAACACATGGCTATTCTAATGAAAAATAGCCACTCTCTGTAATCTCTTTAAAATAAAGTGGCAGAGGACTGTAAGGTAACAAATGCTGGCTTAGTAGTGTAGACTAACCTAAAGCTGTCCTGTTTTACACACACCACTCTGAGAGGATTACGGTCAGCTCAGTACGTGAAGACACTGGCCTACTTGCTCTCTCTGACGGTACGCACATCTAATAGACTTTAAATAGTCTACTCACTGGCTGTAAAAGACAGAAAGAGTAAAACATTCATTCTAAACTGAATGGTGATGATATTCAAGGTGTCAAGAAATACTCTGAAAGTCATTGAGTGTTTAAGCACACGTTTGTGTGAGAGAACATAAGCTAAGTGAAGTACAGACAGTGTAATCCACTTTAATTTTCTGTAAACAAGCCACACAATATACAGATTAACAGAGGGCAGAGCAGAAAGCAGATAATCAGTGTCCTTCAGTTACAGGAAGGGGAGAATTTGAGGGAGATAAAGTAAAAAAAAAAAAAGGAAACTAGAGAAGTCACTTCATTTATGTGTGCCGACTGGATGATTGTGATTGACATCATTATGTGTCATCTGGTCAGTGACCGTTCATGTCTATAACAGCGTGAGCTGGTAAATCTTCTTTACTTATCAGACTATACTGACAGGAAATGACAGGAGTGTTAAACAGATCCAAGACAGTGAGAACGACAGAAAATAAATGGAAAGGAGGAAAGAGAGGAGGTGGATCTGGGGTCACAGAGGTCAGCATCTCTTCATCTCAGGGCCAAATTAGCTGAGAAGTAACTATGGAAACTGAGACCCACTGCAGTGGACACTTGCTGGGTCAGTCTGCGTGGAGCTCGTTTTCCCAGGCCGGGGGTAGGGAATGAATGCTTGTGTGGGTGTCAGACGTATCTGCATCCTACACAGTTTATTGACACATACAAAAATCAAAGTATTTTTAAAACTGATTTTGAGGTTTTGGTCCACATTCTTGCATGAACAGGAGAAAATAATGTCCGTATGGGAGGGAAGAAGCAATTACTCTTAACTTCCACTTCTCTGCATGTTTGTTTTGTTTGCTTTAAGATCATTGTGTAAGCCACATGTCCATTCTAATATGAATGTGAGTGCTTTCACACTAAGATCAGTGTGTAAGCTCTCAGTTGTGTTGTGTAAGAACAGTCTGTGTGTTCTGAGACCGATAAGATGTTTCTGTTCTAAAAGTAACACGTCCATGCTGATTAAAGTGTCTGGGCAAACACATTGGGTCCAAAAGTTTGAAACTGAAAATAAGGTATCAGACTTTTGTACTTGTTTTCTCTAGCGCAAAAAAAAAGTGTGTGTGTTTGGGGG